ATATATATACTCATATAAGAAAACCATGTAGTATTTAAGCTTATGTGTCTGACTTACTTCACATAAATCATTATGTTCTACCATCCCAAATTACATATCCCATTGTTTCAAAAATATTTTCATGTATATGCTAATTTGTTTCACTTATACTACCAGTTTATCTTTGTTCATTAAAAACAAACATTTGTGCTATCTTTCTTCTTTCTAAGAATCGTTTTGGTCTATGTCATACTCTCAGTAACTACTTTGAAGACACTGATATACAGTGTATTAACTATTGCTATTCTCTTATTATTGTTATAAAATTTTGTTTCATTTTTTCGTAAAAAAGAAACCTTCTATAATAAAAAAAAAACAAACCTTCTGCTATACAGAATTAAGTTACATGTCCTGCAAATGTTAGGCAGTAGGCCAGACATGAGGGACGCAGAACTCAAGATATATAGCTCCACTTTTGAAGGCTGAGACTCTAGAACTCTTTAGAGTCTTTAGATGATTCTACTTTATATTCCTTTGTTTATTCATTCAGTAACTATGTGACTATGTGTTACATGACGAACACAAGCCCTGTGTTACTCCTAGGCACTTATTCATCTTGTAACTAGCTCAAAGATCAGGAACTTAATAATTCTTGACTTTCCTTTAAAATAATTATAGAAAAAAGTTTAGAATATTTTCTAAGGTTAGGAACCAAAATCATAACATTTCCTATTTCTGATTCGCACACTAACTATATAACTGGATTCTACATCCATCAGCTCACATTAGGTTTTGTAAATGTTTAAAGGTTTCTCAGCTATATAAATAGAGAATAATGAAAAAAAATACTGTTTAAAGTGTTCTAAAATGTAAAACTGTATCTATGCTTTGACTTAGCAATCTTTCCTTTGACTATCCTAAATCCATGCACATATATACAAGAAGAGATGTCTATCTACCAGCCTACAAGTCAGTGGGATAATATCATGAAATGAAAAAAATAAATTGGTAGAAAAATTATATATAATGATTCTCTTTTTTACAAAAGAGAAAAATATAGAAAGAGATGTAGAGTAGATAGTTACATTAACCCAAGCACATGGGAGATGGTACGCCTTGAATATTTATGTCCATCTCCAAATTCATGTTGAGATCCTCATCCCCAAGGTGATGGAATAGGGAAGCTTGAGGCCTTTGGGAAGTGATTAGGTCATGAAGGAAGAGCTCTCACGAATGGGGTTAGTGTCCTTATGGAACAGGCTCAAGGGAGATCCCTTGTCCATCCAAACATGCGAGGACAGGAAGAGAAAGTGACATGTGTGAACCAGGAAGCTGGTCCTCATTACACTCCAAATGCGCAAGCCTCTTGGTGCTTTCCAAGTCTTGGTGGAGTTCCAGTCTCCAGAACCGTGGGCAGTAAGTTTCTGTCATTTATTCATTCAATTTATTCCTCTGGATTGCCTGACACGTGGCAGGATTAAATCAATTTTGGTGATGAAAAAAGATTATTTTTTTCCTGTGCTTCAGTTCTAAATAGGGCCAGTCCTCAAATTCTGAACATCTGACATACAATCACCCTACAAAGATGAGCTACTATACTGCACAAGCAAGGTGAAAACTGTACTCTGGTGACTACTCCTCTCACCGAGAGGCTTCATATGGTGAGGGGTGGGGGAGAAAAGGAGGAGAAATGAAGGAGAAGGCATTTCACATAATGAAACAAAGCTAACATGAGACAGTAAAAACAACAGGAAAACGAATGGCAGGTTCCCAAGCGGTGAAAAATACAGTAAAAGTCCAATCAATCCACACTGTGTTTGAGACACTACATACTTCTAATAACGCCCCCTCTCTTTGGATAATAAGTCAAATCCCAAAAACTAAACCTCCTATAGGAACTATATTTTATCTTTAACGCCAGAAAATACTCTAAAAGCTGAAAGGGTCATTAGTTCAGAACACTCTAGGACAAGTATTGTTTCATCTGCTTTCAGAAACTATGCAGTAAGCTTGCATAGTCTTTATATCAGATACTATAAACAGAGAATGGGATGACTGCTCCTATTCTTGCCATCTGCACTGCACTTTACAGTTCATAAAGTTCTTTGATACATATGAATCAAATGTTTTAACTGCTAAGAGAAAGCAATTAAAATGAAATGCACTTTGTATCATAAACATGCACAACCATTTAATCTTTGATGATTAAAAAGGCAGCAAAGCATGAACTTCAAATGTATTCTATGAGCCATTAAAAATATCTAATTGTGCAGCACTTAGATATTTTCACAAATAGAAAAGTTCAGGGGACAGGGATGTAGCTCAGTGGCACTGTGCCTGCCTGGCAAGCGCAAAATTCTGTGTTTAATTCCCAGTACCAAAAAAAGAGAAAACTGCAGGTGAAAAACTGTCACAGACCAAGTTTAACTTTTATAAGAAAAGGTTAATTTACTCGCACAAATTTTACTCTATTGAGGTATGACTGAGAGTTAAGTAATTTACTAACAACTCTTTTGTTCACAAAGAACATGGGAAAATCTGCTGTCATACTTGACAAAATATTTCTTACACTATCTCCTCCCCAGAGGGTTAAAAAACTTTAGGTAAATATGCTTTTGTATCATGTAACAGTGATTTTGCAAAAGTGGATTCATATAAATATATATTTTTTTCCAAGTTCAAACACTGCAAATCTAATTTTAAAATGTATATATTCAACATATGTAACAATCTGCCAAATGCTAAAAATACAAGCTATGCATCCATTTATTTCCAGATACAGCAAAGATAAACTTGATCGTGCTTTCTACCTACTCACAGATTAAAAGACTTTTCCAGGAACATATGCTATTTATATAAAACCAACAGGATACACTTTCCAGATATTTAGGAGAGTCCAATACAGTGACGGGAATAACAAAGGGTCAAGTCACCAAAAGAATCCAACGTGCCATAAATCATCTAAAATGAGTAAGAACTAGAATTTAAGTACAAAATTCAAAGGGAGTTAAGTGATAACTAGAAAGGGCCATAGTAAACAAATTCTTTCAAAATAAAGATCAAATTTTATAGTAAGCAGTGGGAATAAAAGCTGGATTAGGAAATTCTCTTGGAAAAAAGTTTAAGTACTTTCTTTATTTCATATGTAATACAAATTAGGTTATAATGAAAATTATTCTTAGGGCATGTTGCTTCTATAGCAAATTTTTTTTCCAAAAATTTGTATAGAAGTCCAATTCAAAATAATTTTGATTTTCACAGGGCAAGCACAAAGGTTTTTATTTGTTTTGTTAATATCCAAAGACTTCACTAAGCTTTCCCAAAATCTTCAAATCATTCCTTTTAATTCCTATAAGTCAAAATCATCTAATAGGGCTATTCTCCCTACATACTTTCTTCTTTTGGTACTGGGGATCGAACTCGGGTACCTTGTCCTTGCAATGCTGGAACCACAGCTAAATCCCCAGCCCTCCTACACACATTTTTAACCAGTCTGTTGGGCATTTTAACATTCAGAAATCTCACAGAAAGCTTAAAACACAAAGGATACACAGCCAGGATAGATGCACATGCTAAATGAAGTGGGGTTTTTGACTGGGGATTAATTTTCTAAGTGGTATATTAATAAGTATTTTGGTTTCCTACATAACTTCTCCTGTAACCTCGTAACTGCAGGGACTCAGATGATGAATTCCCAGCTAATCTTTACGTATTGACTTGTGCGTATAACAGGAAGGGCTATACGTCTTGGTTTGAATATCTCAGGGTAAGTGAAATACATCTTTGTCAGGACCACATTTATAAACGATAGTTTCAAATGGAATATAATACTATACCAAGGTTGTCAGGGAGTTCCTTTTCATATAGAGTCTCTCCAAGTACTGTAATCCTTCACCTTTCAGTAACTCCAGTGGGAAATGGTGCAGGTTTCTGTAATTTAAGAACAAATTCTTGTGCTTTTCAAGCCTTGCCACAGAAATCGTCTTGCAAAGTTCGGAAGCCATGACTGAACATATTCCGTCAGGCATGCTGGAATATTACATCTTATCAAAACCGGTCCATTGCTAGAAAGAGAGTAACAAACGGCAATCATTGTAAGACTTCTCACTGGCAGTGCCAATAAAACCTACTCACATACAGAGCTACATATATTCAGACACTGAAAAGATACTTTTACCTTCTAGCCTACAGTTTTCATTTAAAGCAACTAAAATTGTCACATATATTTAGGAGGCTAAAGTAAACTTAGTGAAAAATACCCTGATTAAGCTATATTTACTACTCATCAGAAACAGTCCTAATGGAAAAACACTTTCTGAACTTGAGGGAGGAATCTGCCCAAGAAAACAGAGACAAGTTCTACAACATGCAACCAAAGGAAAAGCTTAAAAAATCAAATGCTGCAAGCCCCATTTTCATCTTGTTATCCCATTTTGTATTTAAGGTTATTAAAATATGCATTATTTCTATTTAGGTCATTAACAGCTTAGTTTCCATTACTTCCTAATATCTAAATTCTGTCCTATGTTCCACCTTATTTATCTTTTTCTTTTTAGCTTTGCAAGTTACCAGAAGTAGCAAAGAAATAGGTCCAAAGTCACCCAGTTTTATCATTTCAAGTTATTCCAGTAAAAAAAGAGACACTGCACTAGGAAACCAGAATCCTGTATTATTCCATTAAATCCCTCTGTGTATCAGCTTAGACATAAAATGGACTTAGTAATTAATGTATGAAAAGCCTGAGTTCAGTATAAATTATTTTAAATTTTCCTCTAGCTACAAGATTGGCAAGGCCAGGAAAAAAAAAAGTAGCATTTGACATCCTACCCACTAAGCACAGAGCTGAAACAAACTTCACCATTACTTAACACAAGAAGAACCAGACTTCAGGCTTCTTTAATGTGCCATGGTAGAACAACGCAAAAGAAACTAAAAGCAAACTTTTGACACCAGGCCCAAGAGCTTCCAAAGTGTGGGTTCTTTATAGGCACTGACTCACAAGATTCTACGAGATACTGAAGAAATGCTAAAACAACTACAAAGTTAAGCTTCCCTCAAAGATTCTGATCTGTTTTTTGGGCATGTTCCAAAACTCTCTATTTGGGGTGGGGGTGCGGTGGTAAAAAAAAGTACAGTACATTTTAAAGAATTTTTTTTTCTTTAAGAAGACAATTTTCACTGAGAATTAATTCCAAAGCTTTCAACAAGCAGAGTTTTGTAACTTTTGGGTTACTTTCTACTATTTCCAAATTCTAATTTCTACCTAATAAGGCCATACTTTCCAATTTATATAAAAAGGAAAAGAATGGCCGGGAATTTAGTTCAGTGGTTCCACCACCTGCCTTGCAAGCACAAGGACCCGAGTTCAATCCCTGGAACCAAAAAAAGGAAAAGAATATGAAGTGTTCAGTAATATTGTCAATGCAACATAATTTTATCATATCTATTCCACCTACTCACTGATTTATCAGACACATTGAGACATATTATGTGACCTATCTTTTGATATTTTGTCTCTTAAAAATGAAAGGAATTAGAAGATAACCAGCATCAATGATTCTGTGTGGAGAGTGAAGCTTTCCAGGTTAATTACTCATTGATGTAGTAAACTAAAAGCAGTTTAAATGTTCCACACGCATTAACTAATTTAATCATTCACAGAGAGCCATTAATTTTTATCACCAGTCTGAACCAAGCCAGTCTGAACCCACTCTTAGTATATTGGAGGACAAAGCACATTTCTATCCATCCAGCTCAGGCCTGAAATTTGGAAGTCATGAATAGTTCCATCCTCTCCTTCATCCACATCTCCACCTTATCAAAGGGCTAGTGGTTTCCACTTCCAAAATACATCTCAGTTCTACCCACATCACTCCATCTGCCAAAATCAGAAGCCGTTATCATCTGCCTGGGCCCCTGTATGGCTGGTCTCCCAGTGTCCCTTCTAATACACTCATCACAGCAGCACATTTGACATTGCACCTGGCTCTCAGGGACACACCTTACAGAAGCTTCTTATTCAGAAAATCAAATCCTTACCAGGCCTTCCAGACTCCTCACCATCAGGCCCGATCCACTTCCCCAGCCTCAAATGCAGGACTCTCCCTGGCTTTTCACCAGGCAGAAGTTATCACTCGTTCAGGCTTTCAATTTTAGGAACTACCAAACTCCTCAGCGCGTGCTGCTCTCTTTTGAAGGGGAAAAGCACTGTTTCATCCTCCTCTAGGTTTCAACATGAAAACCACTTCCTTATCTCAAGCTATTCTGCTATTCTTTCAGAGCAACCCAGCTGTGTGTTTTTCTTCACAAGACTCTGCAAAATTTGTGATCTGTACATGTGTGAGTGTAGTTGTTTATTGTCAGTCTAGCCAAGAACCTATAAAATCTTGAGGGCAGAGCTTTTGCTGCTTTCTTCCTGCTCAAATACCTAGCACAGTATCCAAAAACAAACCTTCAGGCTGAGAGTGCTGGTGAACGCCTATAATCCCAGCTGTCCAGGTGGCTGAGGCAGGAGGATTGCGAGATCAAACCCAGCCCAAGCAACTTAGTGAGACTGTGTCTCAAAATAAAAAATAAATAATGTGCCGAGAATGTAGCTCATCAGGAAGGCTCTGGGTTTGATCCCCGATAAGTGGGAAGTAAGACTTCAAACTAAGACTTCAAACGGTCAGTGAATGGAGGATGAAATTCCAATCTGTGGAATAACGTTGGGAGGCTGCCTTTGGAGGTTGCCTTTTCGTTCACCCGCGTCAAGATCATAAACTTGCTATTGCTACATAGCCTATGCCACTCCAGTCCTCAGAGCCATGCACCGAAATTACTTAGTGCACTTTATGCATGAGTTTCTCAGAAGGCAACTGCAGAATTTCAACACAAGTGGCCTCCCAGCAAAGCCTGCACCGGCCCTCAGTGGAGCCGGTCAATCACTTCAACGAAGCCAGCGCTTCACGGACAAAGCTCGCAAACACTGAAGACACTGCTCTGTAAAGTCAAACTATATCCAAAATCCACATTCACGGATGAAAGATTCCGTGAAAAAATTCACTCTAACCTGGCAGCTTTCCTTCTGAATGCCGTGGCTGGGATCGGCTGCCTCAAAAACATTATACCTTGGTGAAATACATCCTGCTACAAAGACTGGGAGATACATCAGTACAAAGAAAAGCCCCCGTTTAAACGCATCTAGCTACAAAGACAGGCTGAAATCTATACAAATGAAATCAATAATGCCAATAATCAACAATACCCGTTAGGTTTTCACTGGCAAGAGACAGCAGTTCACAGAATCATTTTGTTCCCCCCTCCCCTTCACTACCTCGGGTCTGTAGTTACAGCAATTGGTGAAGACAGCTGCACCTCCACAGGAGTTTCGGACGGGTGAACGTCGATCTTTTTTTTTTTTTAAACTCCCACTTTAAGAAAATTCCGCGCATTATAAGGAATATTTTATAGGAAGAGTCCCATATCCTGACTTCCCCGTACATAGACAGATTACCCACTCCAATTTCCTAACTTGGGAGATCAGGGAATTACAAACTGCACGTTAAAAGCACTCGTGACAAGGTAATTTTCGTAGTAGTGGAGCACGCTACAAGTCTCACGCAAACACCCGAGCTCGCAGGCGCTAAGGTCGTTACGCCGGAAGCTGCGATCTCGGGCAGGGATCACAGGGGTTACTGGGGTCTCAGGGCGAGGGGCCGCGTAGGGTGAGGCCCGACTGCCCGGGCTCCCACTCGTCGCGGCCTGCCGATTTCAAGGGTGTGGAGGGCCCCGCCGCGACCCGG